CACTTCAGTGAAGTCAGACCAAATAACTAATCAATAATTTGTTAAAATTCATCATTATTATTTAGCTGTTTTTGTTAAAGTATTTGTCCAAGGGAGGAGATTTGAATAGCATTGTCCTGATCATTTCCAGTCACTTGGAAATGGTGCAGTAAGACCCACCATTCACAGCCCAATAATTTCATGTGTTCTGCCGCCAGTGGCTCGGTTATGGCAAGACTACGTAGAGCCTGGAGATGAACTAGAGGCTGGGTCGCCCATGAAGCGGTCATCAAGAAACCTGGAGAACGACGACGAACCAGTCTTGCCTCTCCCAGAAAATGTTCTTACCAGAAATCTTGGACTTCACGTTATAGTTGTAGTTACTAAGGTGTGTAGCATGGGGAGCCTCCTCCTTGGTACTCGGCCAGTTGTTGGTGAAAAGGGTGGTAGTTCTGAGTTGTATCGGCATCGTTTTATTAGCTAAACCAATACTCTCTCATTTGCTTTGTTTTCCATTTTCAAAAAAAAGTAAAGAAAAAAAGGAGATAAAATTGTTTTATTATTTCTTTTAACAGTTATCAAATACAATATGTTACTGCAATTAGAAATGTATTAAAAAAGAGGGCTGGAAACTCCATCTCTTGTGCTTGTCATAGATTGTAAGTGATTCTAGTGAGAGTAAAATAAAAGGAGGGAAGGTGGGAAAACAGCAAGAAGCTTAGATCAAGAAAATTCACTAAATATTTCATAATTGGCCTCTAGAGAGAAAATTGTAGATTTTATTTAGTTGTGGCAAAGTTTCTTTCTTTTATCTCCAGGAAAAAGAGCATTATTTACTTAGTTGGGGGTAGTAACAGCAGCAGTTTTTTCATGTTACTAGTACCATATGCACACACATACAATGTATCACTCCCCGTAAGTGTAAACTAACTGCATATTGCCAATTAGCAAGGCTTTGCTCATTATTTTTGGTTTCAATGTAACCGTGAATGTGACCCTTAATCTAACTCAGTTTTACATAATTCTACTTTGGCATAGCATTATTTTTTTCCAAACTAATAAGTTTACGTCCCCAAATGTTTCTTTCTGTCTTACCATTTATATACTATTTTCACCATAATCCTCAGTGAAGTTAAGTAATAACTCAGTATTTTATCAGTAGAAGCAAATGAAAAGTATAACAGAAACAAGAAACTTTATTAGTTTGTTGTTTCCTCATTTGTTAGCTCCTCATCCTCCTGGACTGACTAGAATTTCAACACCAAATTCAGGCAGTTGTATGCAAAGGTACATTAATTAGCATAGAAATTTGTTGGTAAATGTTTAGAATAGGATAGCCTAGAGATAATATTATGGTAAGAGGCAACTAAGCAGGTAGGAAAAATGATCTGTAGAACTGAACTGTTCTCAAGTTGTAAAGTCCAATGGTGTTGTGGCCTGTACACTCCAGCAAACACAAAGAAACTCACATTGTATATATTGGCAAGACAGATCTTGCTAACCTCCCTGGTAATTTATTAACAAATGAGGGCCAAGTCCAAGCTCTGTCTTGCTGAAAATTTGTAGAAGAGGTTTGTTGGACTTCACTAGTGTTAGAAACACATAGGTATAAAGTCACTTCTTTTGATGTTATTCTAAAGAATGTTTTCTTTATCATTCCAAAGTATTTATACTGATAAAAAAATTCTCTTTTTTTCACACAGACTGATTATATGTCAACTTTAGAAAAGGACTTTGATTATAAAGAAGAACACTTTGACTTCATTCAGCAGTCAATTCGAAAGTTCTGCCTTCAGTATGGTGCAGCTCTTTTCTATACTTCAGTGAAGGAGGACAAGAACTGCGATCTGTTGTACAAGTATCTAGTCCATAAAATCTACAACTTCCCCTTCAGAACCCCAGCACTTGTTGTTGAAAAAGATGCTGTGTTTATGTAAGTCTGGAAGACAGTGGTAGTCTTTTATTTGTTTGCCATCTTCTCAGATCTTTGTAATGGCGGCTATATTGAAGAATAACATTTTTACAAGGTACCAACTCTGTTTATGGAATATAATTTGAAACAACTAATGGCAAGAAACCCTACCCTTGTAATTTTTATTTACTGTTTAATTTTTTTTTTTCCAGACCGGCAGGTTGGGACAACGATAAAAAGATTGCAATCCTTTATGAAAATATGCACACAATGAGCCCAGATGATTACTATACAGATGTCATTGTTAAGCCGCAAGTGGTTCGTAAGGTTGGTATCCTGCCTCTCCTCTCCTAAGGGATACTGAAGAAAATGAAGTGTGAATGCTTTCCTAGAGAAGATTTTGTGTGAAAACAGACAGGGCATGGAATAGGAGTTCAGTTCATAATATCTTCCATTACCTCCAGGCTGTTGCCCGGGAGGTGGAGGTTCAGGCTGAGGATGAGCAAGCATTCTTAGCGCGGCACCAAGCACAGTTACAAGCAGGAGGCCCGGGTGCACCCAATGCTACACAAGGTCGTCAAGAATCACCACTTAGACAGTCGCCAGCTGTACAGAAGACCAGTGACCGACGGGTATCTTCAACTGGAACGCCAAATCAAATTGGTTCGCCAAAGAAGGTGAGAATAGGGGAATGGCCAGAGGGCAGTCTCGAACACACAGGAAGTGCCACGACTAGGGATGTATAGGAAAGGCAACTAGATTAGATTTACAATCTGATGTGGAAAAGTTGTAAGAGACAAAAGGGATGGATTCTTGCTACAGAATACTTGCATTTATTAGCTATGATATTCAGTGGATTTGTTGAAAGTTTTATTTATTTATTTATTTACTATAGCTATTTATTTCTGTGATTATCTGTTATGTGGCAGTTGCTCCAAGACCGTTGGGAGATCCAGTGATGCATTTGAGGTTACATATCTAAATGTGTGCATTCTTTAGTTCTGTGATTAGCATATGTTATGTAGCTTCTTTGTGCCATTCACTTTGGGTGCTATGTGAGTCATTGTCACAATTATGAGATCAGTTAGCTTGGAACATATATGATTAGAAATTTGTAATTTTTATTTGTTCACCTGATACTTTCTTGATTTAATCAAATTAATTTCCTGCCTCAAATATTGACCAAGTGCTGTAGATGATAGACTTTATCTTCCACTCATGCTTGTAGATGTGGAGGCCACCTTCAGTAAGTGTGCAGTTGTTATGTCATTTGTTTGACCCTGTGGCTGCTACTGCTATTGGCTAAGAAGTGGGAATTTGGTTTCCTTTTCAGATGAGCTTGAGCCAAATGCTTTAATTTTTTTAACCCTCCCATCAGAAGAGTTTATGTAGACACTAGTGTTTAGCTGCTCACAGTAATAGATGCACCACTGCATGGCAAATTTAGTTTTTTACACTTTGTTTTGCTGTTACTTAAAAGGCCATGCTTCAAGCCAGAAATGCTGAAGAAAATAGAGTAGTCACGGTAACTCGTGTCCAACGGAGAGATGGAAAGGAACTTGTTTATGCTATACCGCAGCAGTGAAATAAGATGGCTAGCAAAACCAATAATTATCATTTTGTAACCTGTGTGCAGATATAGACTGATGTTTGATATTTCAGAGGAAACATTTTATTTTATTATTTATTTTTTTTCTTCATTCTTTCTTCCTCATATGTCTCTTTTTTTTCTTTCTTTCTTTATCTTCACCTCACATTTCTCTTATCAAAGGATGTTTCTCTCTCTTTCATACTTCCTTTCTTTTTTTTCCCTCCCTCCCTCTCCTCTCTCCTCTCCTCTCCTCTCCTCTCCTCTCCTCTCCTCTCCACTCCTTTCCACTCCTCTCCTCTCCTCTCCTCTCCTCTCCTCTCCTCTCCTCTCCTCTCCTTTCCACTCCTCTCCACTCCTCTCCACTCCTCTCCCCTCCTCTCCTCTCCTCTCCTCTCCTCTCCACTCCTTCCACTCTTCTCCTCTCCTCTCCTCTCCTCTCCTCTTCTCTCCTCTCCACTCCACTCCACTCCTTTCCACTCCACTCCACTCCTCTCCTCTCCTCTCCTCTCCTCTCCTCTCCTCTCCTCTCCACTCCACTCCACTCCACTCCTCTCCTCTCCTCTTCTCTCCTCTCCTCTCCTCTCCTCTCCTCTCCTCTCCTCTCCTCTCCTCTCCTCTCCTCTCCCCTAACCTACCTTACCCTAGCCTCTCTCTCTCTCTCTCCCTCATTATCATGGAAATATTTTTTTTATTAATATTTTCTTTTCTTTTTCTCATTGTGAATTGTTTACACATTTATGGATTCGCAATCACCAGCTGTGTGTAAACAGAATTAATGAATTAAATCTCAGTGGACCCAATATTGGCATTCCAGCATCAATGGGTAAAGTGGTAATGTAAACACCAAAATCATAAGGCTGTGTAAATCTAATAACGAAGGAGACATTTCTGTAAAAGATGAAAAGATATTTAGTGAACGGAGTTGAGCTAAGCAGAATTGCATACGGTCAGAAAGCAACATTGATTTACAATACTTAATTTAGCACTGTTAAGGATGATTATAAGATTTTAGTACATTGTTGTTCAAAGTCAACTTGTGATATGCAGTGTTTAAATACAAATTTCTCTTACATCAAATTTCATGGAAGTCATTGATCTTGTTACCACTATGGTTCTCAACCTATTTACTGCTAAATAAGCTCCTTCGAGCATAATTTTGTAAAAGTGAGGTTTATGTAACCAATGCTATAGAGTCGGTAGTTGCTGATCAGCTATGGTCAGACATGGCTTTTGCATTGTATTATTGTAACTGTGAAATGTAGGTTGTGTTATGGAGGCACACTAACTTGGTTTTATGGGTGCTACTTTAAAGTCGTAAAAGGCCATTTTTAATTGTCGTGTAATTACAGGGGTATGTGTATTCCGTTCAAAACTGCAATGTCATTCATCTCAGAGTTTATAGCAAGCCTGAGTGACATCAACTCAAAGGCCCCAAGAAAATGTAGTGTTCACTGTAGTATTGGGAAATGTCTCTGCAGAGAGATGGCTCTGCAAGTGCTCAGCCACAAAGGAGTCAGT